ACATGAACCTCTGCCTTAACAAATGGTGTCTCATGTGATGTCTCCCAACCCAAATGAATTACACCTTCACTTCTAATTGGCATAACAGTTCAATTATTTAATCAAATGTCTGGTTGTTGCTTTCATAATCCTCCAACACACTACGTCTGGTGATAAAATTGGCTTTAAAAGAGCCTTCATGGTTGCATCAAAAAGATTAAAAAGATGACTTTAAAATGGACAAACCCCCAACGTCAAATGAAAAGAAGTGAAAATATTTTTATCACATGCTTTAAAGTTAGGACTAATCTATAAAATGTGGGTACTTGAGGATGAGGGGTTAGTTCTGCTGACCTCTGTCTTTCAGGAATAAAACAGTCCTTCCCTTTCTTGGCTTTAGGACCTTATTGACAACCTACTAAAGTTAATGGAAAGACTTCAGTGGGTTATTTGGGGTTTTTTTTTGAAAAGGCAGATAAGCATTACAACAGAGCTCCCTCTCATTAGAGGATATTCTGATAGTTAGACTATCCCTCTAAACTCTTGCTTGGAGAACCCCCCAAATCAGAGGAAATATAATTCTGCTTCTCAGAAGAGAAGAGGTCTGAGTGACCCCATGAGCACTGACCCTCCAAGCCTTAATGAAGAATGCACTAAACTGCAGTACTAAAAACTACCACAAAGCTTAAAAAAAAAGCCAACAGGAGTGATAGAAAGACAGCAATTTTACTATAAAAGCAAAAGTCTGTGAAACAGGCAAGTGGAAGAAATAGACCACAAGTATAAGTCACATGCAGTACCAGTTTGCTAGAAAAATAACACCATTTTGATAGGGAAAGGATGTAGCATCATCAATGACAGAAGGTAAGCAAGAAAATGCATGAAAGTAAGCTATTTAAATCTTTTTAATTAAGAAATCGTTTGGATTAAATTCATCAATATTCAGATTAGCTAAAATGAAGTGTTTACATGATCTACACTGATAAAAGTTAAATGACTTGGTCTGAGAAGATTTTTCTTTTTTTTTTTTTCTTTGAAATTACTGAGGTTTTAAAATGTTAGAAGCAAATATTGATGTCTTCTCTGTGAATGTAATTTTTCCATACAGGGACTTTACTTTGCAGTGTTTAAGGTAACTCCTAATTCCTTGGAAAAGATGAAGTTATCATTTCATGAGATATTACTGCCCTAATTGTCTTAATTGCTGCATTAAATCTTATTGGTTGTTTTCTGACCGATGGATATATCTGTTCAACTAGTTATAAAGGGCTTTTTCATACACCTACTGTCACCTTAAACAAAAAGGCCTGACAGATGATACTGATGTTGAAAACAAAGTTTGAAGTTTCATAATTGGCTGAAAAGTGATACTTGATTTTTCTCCCATAAGAGCACAAAAGCTCCTTATTAAAAACATAGTAAAAGGCAAGGATGACTTCTTTGTTTGGTACAGTGCAATACAGTGACAAATTAAAGAGCTGTTCAAACAGATCACATTTAGGGAGGCTAACAGCCAAGTCAAACAATGAGGGCTGGTAACGTGGATGGGAACCGCACATTATCATGCCACTGAGGACATGGGATTCAGATTGTAGTTCTTGGACTCAGTTCTATGTCTGGGAAGAACTAGTATGCCAACAAATTTATTGTAGTTATCATTTCCTTTATTGCACTGCTACAACACCTTTGTTTAGAGTATAAAAGATAGGAGAGACAAAGCGGTCCACTTCTCATAGGAAAAAGATTAGCGAAAGGGAAGGGACAAAGTTATTACAGTGTTGTATATACAATATTACAACTACTTCAGCTGTTTCAGTTTCAGGTGTTTGGTGAGCCTTTTACATGTTATCCATAAAAATCAGCCTCGTAACAGCACTGGGAACTACCATTAAGACATTGGATTGTGTACTAGCAACTATCAAATCTATAATGTTCTGTAATACCTTCCAGGTGGAGAACCTGAAGCACACAGCACATAACCCCTCCATGGTAGGGCTGTTGGACTAGATGATATTTAAAGATCCCTTCCAACCCAAACCGTTCTATGATTCTCTGATTTAAGTTAAAAAAATACATTTGTCTGTAGAACAGCTAGCATGGTCTAGGTGGCAAGACTGCCCTGGACAGCTGTGCATGCCAAGGTGTTAGGTGAGGCATTTAAACGTTTGCAACTACATATACTTTCCCACATGTCATCTGGCTTGTTTATTTGAACAACAGGCTATAAGACGCAGGGCTCTCACATATCTTCTGAACAAAAAGTAGCTCAAGGGAAACTATATTATTCTGATACTACTATTAAAAGATGTCACTGCCCATGGCCATAACGTAGGGGAGGATGATTATGAAGAGACAAACACGGAAACTTCTGCTCTACGAACAACAAAGCCTTTTTCAACAAGGAGCAGCCTCATCATGCTATCATGTCTGCACGTATAATGTAGTTTAACCACATCAGTATGCGGTACATCTGTGTACATGTACATGGTACAACTGTGGTGTAACTGTACATGCAAATAAAAGCATATGTGAAATTGGAGAACATATGACGCTTTGGATTATCATTCAGGCTGCCACTAGAAAGGTGCCAATTAAATCTGTTTCATATATTTTTCTCACATAAAGTTCCATTCCATGCATAGTGGTAGCTAATTTAGTGCCTGTCTTCATGGTAGCATAGTTACACTTATTTTTTCTGTTCCTTGATTTGCATATTTCATTGTTGAATTTTGTCCTCTTTTTTATCATGCGGTGCTTTCTGCCATAAGTTCTTTTGCACCTTTTGGTGGTCCATCTTTGTTTCAGCTGTTCAGACTAATTCTTTACCATCAGCATACTCCACCTCAATCCTCACACCAGCTTTTCAAAATTGTTTCTGAAGATGCTAAATGCAGGTCTCAGTATGGATCCCTGTGAGATGTCACCAGAATTTCTCCATTTTAAACAAAGGCCATTTATTCCTATCTTTTAACTTCTAACTTTTAATTCATGTCTCAAAGAATCTTCACCGCCATCCTATGAGAGACTGACGTCTAAAAAATATTTGTTGAAATTTTTCACCAAAAGGTCTTTAAGCTAAAATACACACGTATTGACCTGATCATCCTCATCCATATGTTTATTGTCTTCACGGAATAACTCAAAAGATTCATCATGCATGGACTTCTTTTACAAAAAAAAAAAATCAACTCTTCCCCAATTATAATTTCTCTTTATTATTAAATTTCTATTAATTTCTTTCTTATGTAAATCAGACATATTGGTCTGTTCCTGCCAAATTCAGCCATAGAGTCCTTTCAAAATATTTGGTTATACTGCCATCTTCCATGCCTCTGATTCCAGGACTGCACATCACGTAGTTCATCAGTTCTGTGTTTTAGTTCTCTCAAAGCTCTTGGGCGCTTGCCATCCTTTGTTTCTTTTATTTTTTCCCCTAAAACTTCTCCAAACATTTCACAGTCAAAAATGAGCCCACAGATACATCATCTGTTCCAGACATAATTATGCAGTGCTTAATTTGTAATAAACAGTCCTTCAATATAGATCATGAAAGTTTTCCATATACTAAAGAGGAAAGAAAAAATATGAACAAATTAGGCCATACTTTCTCACATTAGCTAACTTTGGGAAAAAAAAAAACCAGTTTGAAAATCTGAAAAAAAGTCTGAAAAGTCTGGAAAGCAGATCTACGTAGGCAGCATTTTCGTCATTTGTGTCATCAAGTTCACCTGAAGAAAGGCCTATTGGCAGTGTGCCACACACCTTAATTATGTGGCTGCCAACTTTATTCCTGGACTCCAAATGCTCCCCATGGTTTGTTTCCAGATAGGCACTTTTTTATGCAGTAGAGTGGCAGGTGACATTTGATTGTAAAAGCAAAACATTCCAGTATCATGCTAAAGATTGAAAAAGCAGCATAGATTTGTCTTACACACCTCTCTGTCTGGATGACATAAGAATTAAGAAATGATAACACACCTTTCCACCTCATCATACAGGCAAGATGATTTTACAGGTAAAGTAACCCCAGTTTGTTCCATCTTAAAGGAGGAAGGTTTGTGCAAAGGTTCGTATATGTCTAAGAGTAGGAGCTCTTTTATGAGACAATAAGATACATGCCAGAAGTTTACTATGAGGTATTCTTATTATCTGTACCAAAACTCTCTCTTTTTTTATTTTTTTTTAACAAAGAAAAAAATCTGGAACTGATCTTTTATTTCACAGCTGTGAATACTCTCCTAGAGTGTTCATGAAATAAACTATTTGCAGTAGTCCTTGTTGAGAAACTGTGCTTTTTCTTAAGGTTAGACAGTCAGGGTTGACAGAAAATGAATATCCTTCTAAACACATTACTGTAACTCAGGAGGCAGACTCTTAGCCTTAATAATAGCAACAATGATAATAAACAATGGTGTTGTTAGTAATAGAATATATTTCTAAATGTCAGTAATGGTATTTTTAAACAAAAAAAGGCTAGCAATGTACTGTAAATGTGTGCTATGAGGAACATGAGCATGTAGCTGCCAGACAATCTCAATGAAGGATTTAATTGTTGAATTATGAAATCGTTGTGTTTGATATTATGGTACACATACGCTCCAGATCTGATGCAGATCACATTCAAGAGAGATTCCAAGCAGCCTCAGAAGTTGTCATTAACCCTCTGCCAAGCAGAGTTTATAGATAATTTTTAAATAAGTCTATAGATTATACCTAGTTCTAGGACAGTTTCTATGGCGTTTTTCTCTGCTCGTTGTGATGAAAATATGGTTAAGGTAGCACAGAAAACATTGCTTTCTATTTTTCTCTAGCCCACATAGATATGCAAGGACACACCCATGTACGTTTTCAAATGGCTGAGCACAAAATGTCATTTACAGATTCTTCCTTTCAGACACATCTGTTCTGCACCTGTTTGCTTAATGCTTGTTTCTGTAGAACATCTCCTGATGTTCAAAAGACTTGCCCTCTCATGGAAACTTTCACTTGGACACATCAAAATGTATGAATATTCTTCCTACCTTTAGCAGATAAGCTTGGCAGTCACTGACATAATCGTACTCCAATCCATCAAAGGTATAATAATGTCGATCTCCATAAATAGTGCATACAGCAGGACAGGGGTAACTAGTGCAATTGAATATCCCTCTCCGACAAACACTGTAAGGAAAGTTAACAATCAGTATCTTCTCATAGCACAGTCATTTTCTTTTTATTTTCGAGAAGAAACTTTCTTGGGTTCTTTCTTTCAAGTTATACAGAAATTCATGAAAGGAAGAAAATTCTCAGACCTTGAAACACAGAGCTATTCTGTGGATTGCTTCTGAAATTATTGGTGATGCCATGGCAGAAACGTGTTGAGCATTTTTCCATCAGCACATATGTACAATAAAAATGCATAAGAAATGAATGAAAAATCTTAAAATTTTTATGGCTTATGCAAATATTTCCATCATTGCCTCCAGAATAGATAAGACACCATGCCACAACACACTCATTCATAAAACATCAATATTATATTTTTTCTTCAGAAATTTTGATTAAAATCTGCACATATTCAATACAGAAGACCTCCAGTACTACCTGTAAGATTTCAGGGTATCAGAAAAGTACGGAATGAATTTAAGAAATAAATGCTGATATTTTGCAGGATTACTTTTCCTGTCAGCTACATTCAGTGACTTACATGAATTTATATAAAGTACTGACAGCCTCTAGTTCTGCTTGTGTAAGTATATAAGCTCAGTTGATTTGCCAATGAAGTTTTTAACTGATTAAAAGCTGCTATGTCAAACTTTCTTTTTGATTATTAAATAGATACTTAACTGAAGACAGATATTTTGGCTAGCAAATTATAACAGATAAAAAACTGTTTTGCATCAATATAAGTCAGGTAAGGCCTCTTAAAAATGGTGATGGACTTTAGCTCATTTTCCAATTCTAATGCTTTTTTATTTCCTTTTTCTTTTTTTATTGCCCACATTCTTTCTATACAGTTGCTCATGCTGACTGGTAACTCATGCTGCAGTTGTCCAGTTGCCGGAGGAGCAGACTATTTACCACTGTCATATATTTAATTTCTTTTTTTTTCTTCTTGGTTGTCTTTCATGATATTCTATTCTCCAAAATGCCAAATGTCTTTTCTTTCAGAGATTAACTGATATGTGTGGAATCAAACATTTGTTCTTGACTGTTTTTTAACTTGGATATCTTCTGCTTCCTTTTCAGATCCGAAGAAGCACTCACCCAAAAGTCTGCCTACTCCTCCAAGTCTATTACTGAGCTTAATAAAAGATATATCCCGTAACTGTCTATAAACAAGCATATACATTTAAAAAGCATATACATTTTTGATTTTCAATGTACTCAACACGTTTTCTGTATCAGTTTCACGTTGTGGCTAGACCCAGATGATTTGGAAGTAGGCAAAATGCACGTCACTCACCAGGTGTAACATGGTGTAGCTATCACTTCCCCGGACAGAAATTCCCTGTCTTTCCAGGTGCATGGGCAACTGTCAGGGATATAACATTTCCCTCTATGCTCAGCCATCCTTCAAAATAAAACAATTATTAAGATGAAAGCATAAATTCCCAAGTAGATAACATAACTGAATGGGTAGTGTATTGTCTAAACCCCACCAAGGGCAACTGGTCAGCCAGCCAGCCAAGGACAATAGTTTCAGCAACAAAAGCTGCCCGAATAAAATCATCTCCAGTGTGCACAGCTGAAGACCTCACAAAGCTCACAGCTGCGGCTCTCCTTCTATCTCGAAAGGGGTATGTTGGTGTAGGGCAGCGGCTCCTGTGCAAGAGCGCAGGTAGTGTAGATACTCCTCCCTGCAAACTGCAGAGAGCATCTGTGCGTTACACACGGGTGAGGCTGCAGCCGGGCTGCCCTTCCCTCCCTGCTGCTCCCTCGTCCTCCTGTCCCAGGGAAGCAGCTGGACTGATGTGCCTCCTCCTCCTCACAAAGCAGCAACCGTCCTGTTCTGAGCACGGGATAGTGAGCTGGGCTAGGGGAGCTGTTGCAGAGTTAGCAGGACAAAAGAAACACAGTTTACAAAGAGCAGTGGTGGAGGTTACCTGCCTACACCAGGGAAGTGGAAACAGCTCACAAGGTTAAGACAAAACGGCGGCATTTAATGCAAAAATCTGCAAGTCTGACTAGATCATGAATAAGCGACCCAGAGATATGGTTAACCACTTTTTGCTATCTCCTCATTTCCATCTGCTTAGCATTATTAACTTTTTTTAAAAAATGTTACTGACACTTCCAGCGCTGCTCCTTAGGGGAGCAATCGCTGCAGCTGTCATTGCAACACACAATTGAGAGCAGAGAGAGATGTGTTTTCAAAGTATGATCTGGAGATTGTTTCACTTGAAGTTGAAGGTAAAAGGAATACATAGATTAGAGTTTTCTTCTCCCCATAATTACTGGTTCATTAAAATTAATTGATTTTAAATAAGAGTCAAGTGTTCAGAAAAATGATTAAAGTTAGGAAAGCACTAGAATGGATGGCTTGGGAAGGTCATTTAGAGTCTCTGTCAATGGAAGTTAATTATCTTCCAAGAATAACATAGGTACAGCTGATGCTGCCTAAGGGCAGGATAATAACTTAGGCAGCCTTATGAGATCTCTTCCGA